TAATAGATAATTAATATTTACTACCAAAAAATAACTCAATAGATATCTAATGATAATAAATTAGAGTAATATATGATATATATATAACTTATGTCAATATAGCGATCAAATTCTAATGATTTCTCTGCATTTTTTTTAATGTAGATAAATATTTTTTTTACATGAATTTTAATTATTTTGAACCTATTTCTATCAAAAATTATATTTAATTATTAAATGTTTTAATTCATGGCAATCTTGATTTGCTCTTAATACAGGAGCAATAATGCAAGGTTAATTAAAACAATTATTTTACTAACTATGATACATAATATAACAAATAAAAAAGTAGTATATTCTAAATTATCAGGTGCCTTCACATTTGCAGATAATGGTAATAGTATTAGTAATATATAGATTGGTTTTAGTTTAATACTTTTTCTGCCTTATTTAGTGTTATTACTTGTGGTACTTCAAATATTTTATCTGTCAATAATTATTCAAAAACTGATAATTCTATGTTTAGCAGGATATTTAAACTTGAACCTCATTATTAAATAACCTTTTCTTTTAAATTTTGGAGGTATATTAATTGATTAATTTAGAATTGATACTTGGGATAATAAACTCTTTGAAGTATTTGTTGATTTAGAAAATTAATATTCAAGATCATTTTCTGACTCTGATACTACAACAAACATTTGTCAAGTTTCTTCAATAAGTGATTCAGTTATAGATGTTTCTATAAATATTCAACATTCCAATCCAACTTTATAAATTATTTTAAAAGGTTAAGGATCTTTTTGGGGAATTTCTGACTTTGAGTTAGCTATTGATGAATGTGCACCAGGATGTGATTCATGTAATTAGAGTCAATGCTTCAATTAAAAACTAGTACCAATATCTATATAATGGATCACAATGGATATGTTTTCAACATAAATAGGATGTTTAGGTATATTATATTAATAGTTAGATTATCGATATGATTGGACATATGGAACATTCATGGAAATAGAAATTGATTTAGAATACCATATAAAAATTAGTTCAAAAATGAGATTCTTAATTACAAATTCTGATAATCCAACTCTTACTATAAAAATTGATGATCAATTAGTAACTACAACATAAAAATTATCATAAAGGATAATATGGACAAGATCTTTTTGTAACCATATTTAGATTCTTGATGTAAAAATAACAGATTTAGTACACACTAATCCAAAAATAAAAATACGTGTTGATGTAGTTATGCCAGAATTTGAAGCGACAGAAGGTTCTCCTTTTTTAGGAAGACCAGACTTTGAATTATTCATCACAACTTCAGAAAAATAAATTAATACAGATTCTCAAGGATTACCTTATGAAGGTTGTTAATTAGATATCCCTGAATTATTTGAAGGTTGTTCTTTTTGTGTTAGAGGTATATGTTTACATTGTTAAGAAGGATGGTAATATATAGAATAAGATCAGGAATGTTAACCAATATGTGGAGATTTTAAACTTGTTTAGAATGAAGAATGCGATGATGGTAATTTAATTCCTTATGATGGTTGTTATTAATGTTAATATTCATGTCCACTATTTTGTAAGTAATGTATAAATGGAAAATGTATTTAATGTGAGTAACCATAATAATTAATTAATGGTTTGTGTTTATTTGTATGTAATCAAATAAAGATTTATTCTGTTTAATAATATACAGGATGTTTTAATCATATTGATAATATTTAAGACAATGGATATTATTAACATATCTTATTTAATTAAGATAATTTAAAATTATTTCAAAATGAATTTTTGGATTGTAATCTTTTAAATTATGGAATTTTTGGATTTAATTTCAACTAATGTAGATTACACAATATATAATTGTGTAAAAATTAATCTTGGGCCATTTGTCTTGAATGTATGGATGGGTTTTAATTAACTAAGAGTAAGTAATAATGTATATCTATATGCAATGATGGTTAGATAGTAGAATTTGAAGTATGTGATGATGGTAATGTAATTTAATTTGATGGGTGTTATAAATGCTAATTAAGTTGTCAATTAGAATGTTCAAATTGTGTTAATTAATAATGTTTACGATGTATAGAAGGATGGGATCTAATTGAAAATTAATGTTTACCAAATTGTGGAGATGGTATAACAGTTCAAACTGAATAATGTGATGATGGTAATTAAGAAGTTGGGGATGGTTGTTATGAATGTTAGGCAGAATGTCCTTATTGTGAAATATGCAATTATTATAATAAATGTTAAGTTTGTTAAAAGCATTTCCATTCTGTTTAATAGATATGTTTACCTATTTGTGGGGATAATTATGTAGAATCTGGTTTAGAAGAATGTGATGATGGAAATTAAATTTAATATGATGGTTGTTATAATTGTTAATTAGAATGTGATATTAGATGTTAGAAATGCTATTATGGTTAATGCAAAGACATTTGTAAATATGATGAATTGGAAATTGATGGAAAATGTTTCAAATTTATATCTGAAGATAAGTATACTGTAAATTCTTATGATTGTTCTAAAGGATGCAAAGAATGTGTAGAAGATGAGTGTTTATTTTGTTGGTAGAATTATATACTTTATAGAGGCTTATGTTATGAAAGTGAATGTGGAAATGGAATAATAGAACCTCTTGAAGATTGTGATGATGGTAATTCTATAAATAATGATGGATGTTCTAATTAATGTAAAATTGAATATAATTGGAATTGTTTTAGTAAGGACTAATAAGTTAATCAGTGTTTTTCCATTACACAAGCATCTCTAGAGCATTTAAACTAGACAAATTATTACCAATATATTAAACTATTATTTTCTAAAAAAGTTATTCTTGGCAATAATTCAGTAATCGAAAATTTCCCTGAAAAAGATTCATTTAGAATTGTGGGATTAAAATCTGATGAATATTTTATAAAGTGTAATCCAAAAGTTCCTATTTCTCAAAATGAGTTCAAAAATATTCAATATGAATTCTAAATATATTTCTATTTCTAGATAAATAGTAACCTTATATTTAATATTTAATTAAATGAAACTATTTTGGATGAGAATTAGATGCTTATATTTCCAACTAATTTATCAATTGAACTTAAAGTTCCTAAAATTTTGACTATATCTCAATTAACAGCTTCTAAGACTTTAAAAACAATTGGCCATGATATGATGATAAGTTTAAGTTGCAGTGGCTTTTTAATGTTGATTTTAGGAAAATTTTCATAAATAATATCATTATTAGACATACTTTAATAATAATAATTTTTAAAATACTTAAATGTTGAATATCCTTAAAATGTTTATGTTTATTTTGAATCTTCAAATTTTATTACTTTGTAACCTTTATTGAATTATCTAAATTTTCCAGATTTATATTAACACATATTTTCAAAATAGTTTTAATAGAGTATAGGTAAATTTAAAGAATACTAAATAAATGCTGATTTCCTTACCAATATTGATAGTTTGATATTTTAAATTGTTGTTGGATGTACCTTTTGTTTAATGATCTATTTATATGAAAAATATATTTCTAAACATATTTCTTTGGTGAAAATTTTCCATTTTATTCGAAATAGAAGATCAAAATTTATAGAATCTATCTTTATTTATCTTTATAAATTTAAAAAGAAAAATCTAGAAATTTAAAAGATCCTCTGTAAAGAAAATTTTATATAATTTATTTATGCAAATAGTTAAGACTTAATTTTTAAA